CAAAAAATCATAGCGGCACTTTGTACATAAGGCATATACTCCGTATACAACTTAAATTGGATCTACCCATATTTTAATTAAAATTGCCACATCATTCAAGTAGTTAATAGGTGGCGAGTGATTTGTTAAAATGTTCTCATGAAACTCGTCACATGTCACAATTCTAAGAGTTTAACTCTCAAATTTAATATATCAAATTTAATAAACAAATCGTTCTGTTTTTATTTAAGTAAAGTGAATATTCCAAAAAAAGGTAATTGTAGCCATCTGGGATGAACAATTAAAGAGTCATTAATGTTGCAATTTAAAAAGTCAATATTGTTTGTTAATTAAAGAAATTTTGAAGAAAAAAAGGAAATTGAATTTGTTGAGAATTTCCGTTCATAAGGAAAGCACAAAAAACGTCTTTAATATTGGTAAGCTTATATTTATAGAAATTAAATTTAAAAAATAGGTACAATATTGAGAAAAAACGCTCCGGACAATATTGTTTGTTAATTAAAGCAATTTTGAGGAAAAAAGGAATTGAATTTCCGTTCATGAGGAAAGCACCATAAAAAATCATCTTTAATATTGGTAAGCTTATATTTATAGAAATTAAATTTAAAAAATTAGGTAAAATACTAAGAAAAAAATTTCCGGTCAAGTTTTATTTTTGAAATTAAATCTAAAAACTCATTATTTTTATCCCCTTAAAACGATTTTGAAGAAAAATAGAAAATAAATTTTTAAAAAAAATTCAAGGATGTCCAATTAAAAATCTGATCTAATTTGGATAAGTTTTAAATTCTAGAAATTGAATAAAAAAATCAGGTGGAATGATTGAACGCCATAGCCATGGCACCTTTTGATGGAAGATATCATGCAGATCTAGTTTATTCAAAACCTAAATACATATGGAGATAGAAGCTACCCTGAAGGAGACGGGTGATGAAGGCCATCGTCATCGACATCGCATCTGTTTAGATCTTCGATCTATGAATTGGATATAAAAATGGGAGACATTGATATTAATTCTGAATAAAATATTTCATAGATTGTGTAAACCAAAAGCACCGAATTGGAGAGGAAAGTATTTACTTTGGAAGTCAAAAAGCACCGAATAAACTATTTCAATTCCTTTAGTTTTCTTACTTAGATTACGTGTAAGCCAACTGTGTAAAAATGATCCACATGTACATGCCAAATGTCAAGCTCTAGTGCATTGATTATAATAAAGGATTCTATATACTCCGGGTTTGTTCGAATATTATTTATGGCCATGATGAAAGAAATAGACATAGCCAGAAACAAGCTGCTGATTTACGAGCATGAACACGTCTATGATCCCGTCTCCGGCCGGCCGCTCACCGGCGCCTGGATTTGGGACTCCGCCCTCTTCCTCTCCGAATGGTTGATATCATCCCCGGCTCGGCGGGCGAGCTTCGACTTCGCGGGAAAAACTGTGATCGAGCTCGGCGCCGGGGCGGGGCTTCCCGGCATGGCGGCGGCGGCGGTGCTCGGGGCCCGCCGGGTGGTGCTGACGGATGTGGAGGCGTTGGTCCCCGGGCTGAAGAAAAACGTGGAGGCGAACGGGCTCGGGGACAGAGTCGAGGTGAGTCGACTCGTGTGGGGATCGGGAGAGTGGCCGAGTCGACTCGCCTGGTTGGAGGCGGCGGCGGACGTGGTGCTGATGTCGGACGTGATGTACGACGCGGAGGCAATGGAGGGGCTGGCGGAGACGGTAAAGAAGGTCTGCCGCGAGGGTACGAAGGTGTGGGCGGCAACGGAGGTGAGGGCGTACACGGGGGATTGCCTCGCCGAGTTGGAGAAGGCGGGATTTGGAATCCTTCAACTTCCGAGTCAACTCGGCGAGGGATTGCCGCACCGTTTTGACGAATTCGTAATATTTGAGCTGATCCCTCCCACAAGGAAAGAAAGTTGAAGATATATGGTTCTTGAATATACTGGATTTTTAATTCATAGGTTCGAGTTAATTTTAGGGTATTTTTTGAAACTTGGATTTGGATTTTAAATCTAGATTTTATTCAAATTTCATATGTGGAAAATTTTAAAAATTTAAATTTGAATTTGAGTCAAATTCTTTTTATTCATAACAAAGTTCAATTTGAAATCGATACAACTCACCTTCTTAATTATTTCAAATGCAAGAATTAAAATATTGGAATTAAAATATATGAATAGAAATGGAACGTTGTTTCCAAACACTGCCTTATTGAAATTTATATTACTCCATCTACTTGACAAAAGTCGAAGAAATTTACATTGTCCCTAATTTCATTTTTCATTTTGACTTTACACGCTTATTAAGAAAAAATTAAAAATTATAAATATTTTCTATGTTTGCCCTTATATGATAGAATAAAGTGAATCGTGTATATAAAAAATAAAAGTAAAATGGTACATTCATTAAAAGTTTTTTGCTGAAATAGAAAGTGAGAATGAAATTTGTGGTCGACCCAAAAAGTAGAGGGAAAGAAATCAATGGAGAGAGTCTCAATTGAAATTGTATGTTTACTATGTATATGGTCAAACTTTAACTACTTTCATTATTCATTTTTTATACTCATTTAATAAAATAAATAGTCATATCATTTTTTATTTTATACGGAGTAATACTTTGGATGTAATTTATAGTTTTTAAGCATATAAATTTTAGTTTCAAATTCCACAATAATTTTTATATAAAATAAATCAAATATAATTTAAATCAAATATCGTAAACTGAAACAAGTTATTTAAATTGAGATGGAGGGAATAATATTTATAGAAAACTCAATTTACAATTATGGTATACCAAAAGTTACAACTAAGAATGCGATTGTTAAATAAGGATGCCCAAAAACAGAGACACTACATTTTTAAATTTTTGTTGATTGTTTTTTTATAACAAAGACATATTTTAATTATCAAAATACAAAGATTTTATTTGACATTGGTATAACATTTTACAATCCATCATTTTTTGAGAAAACAACATGAAACCAGATTATTCTAGTCCTAAAGTGAACTCAACCATTTGAACATTAACGACATAGACAAATAGTATGAGCTTTACAAAATGATTGGACCATTACAGCCTATACTCACCCAGTCACCCGTAGTAATCATATTAAAGCTTGGTATGCAAACGACGTTTGTCATGCACACAGCCACAAAATGTTTAATAATATTTTCAAAACATCAAAACACTAAAGCTAAATGTTAAATTAAATGGAATTTAAATCCCATTTTAGTTATGCCCACCGCATCTACAAGGACCAAAGTATTATTAAAGACGAAAAAGGATCTTCAGGTTTTTATCCAAAAAAATAAGTCTACATTCATTTCTATACAACTAAGTTAAATTCATTTAAACATTACTCCTTTTGTCCTTCATAGATCTTCCAATTACACATTACAAGACATGACCAGATTTATTTATTTTCAATTCAATTTATTTGATTACAGTTGTAGAATTCTATTTTTTCGGAGGGGGGGGGGGGGGAAT